GTACACATGTACTAAGCAATTTTTAACGAAACATATTTAGTCTTTTTTTTTTAATGAAACGCCTTAAATAAAAAAATTTTTGTTCACTTTTTATTCATTTTTCAAATATTCATGCCTGCCGAATATAAGCCAAATTCAAGTAATTGAAAAATTTTCAAACTCGATTTCAGAGTCTCTCGAAGACTTTAATGCAAAAATTTTTTTTCTTTTCGATTCATTTTTACATGTGTACATAGATTAATATTTAAATTATTTTTACGTGTATTTTGGTTTATACTATTTTGGCTTGCCACTAAATCGCTGGTTCGATCAGGTATTTGAAGATAAATAGTTTCGAGGAATTACACGATGCTCACCGTACGCATGTGATCAACAATAACTACATCGGCAGCCAGATAGAAATTTGCCAACGATTATCAGCTCCCCAATGAAAATGTTATTCATTATAATATCCACTTTAGAAGAGGACTCAATGAACTAAAGTATGCAGAACAAAACACGCAAGAAGAATAGCAGTAGAAGAAGAAGAAAACACAGACACACAAATCTACATTAGCGACATTAAAACTGAAATTGGAAAAAATCCTGATGGCAAACGAACAAGCCACGATGGAGAAAGCGCAGGAAAAACAATGGAGATTGAAGCTAAACGTAAAAATCAATATTGACGAAGAAACATCAATCGTCGACAAAAACAAATCTAAGATCAACAGATATGAGGAATTCGAATATGTCTACGTTTAGACACATGACGAAACCAATTGAGAGACAAGATTTACCGCAACACGGCACACCTCTCGCTGAGAGACAGAAGATGAAATATTTGAATTGCGGGAAAACGGGACATCTAGCAAGCCAATGCCAGGATTCTCCAAGCGAGCCAGCAGAGAAAGCTCCCAAGCCACAAAATAAACAGGACGGACGTAAAACCACCGACATAGGAGAGGACTGTGGAACAAGCAGTATCAACAGAATATCCGCTGGACATCGATATATTGGAGGAAGTTTCAGTGGATCCAACAGAACACCCGCGAAATTACTTTCGGACACAGGAAAAAATATTAATGTAATAAAACAGGGAGTAACAAATAATCCACTAATAGAACAAAAACGCGAAATTATAATGCGAAACGATATTTATAGATTAGAATTTGAAACTAAGTTTAACGTATTAGCGAAAGGACACCTCTTCCATGTCGTACTTGATTCCTTCCCTATCCCAAAAGATGGTATAATTGGCCAAAATTTCATCTCTATAGACATGAAATAACCAATACCCATTTGATTTTTGGTAACAGAGGAATACCGTTTCGTACTAACGTGACCCTAACCCCAGGTGAATGCCGTGTCAAGGAAGCTATGACAGAAAACAAACCAACGATGGTATGTTTCATTAACAATTGTGAGCACGAAATTCAAAATGATATAATAGAAATCGAAATCCCAAGTTTAACTCATAGAATCTAAGCATTAAAAACAAAAATCAGATTAGATCATATAGAATCACGATTACGGGAACCATCAAAAAGAATAATTCTCTGTCATAGTTCAGCTTTTTCTCTAGAAACGGACTTTACCTTGTATTGACCTGACGTCCCATCAAATTGATGTTAAAGTCACCAAGCCTTTTAATGTGAAACCATTCGACAACCTGAACACAACCATAATGAAATTAAACGACATATTGACGAAATGTTAAATACAAAAATAATTGAATTATCTGATAGTCCCTATAAAGCACCGGTTTGTGTAGTACCTAAAAAATTATACACAACAGGCAAACGAAAATTTTGAATTTTTATGGATTTCAGAAAGCTCAATAAAATTACAGACCAGGACGCTTATCCCATGCCAAACAGAGTTACGATTTTGCCTCAACTAGGAAACTAAAAATTCTTCCCAGCAATACATCCCTTATCCCGATTTCATCAGACACCGATGCACCCAAATTCAAGTAATATACTGCTTTCTTAACACTTAAAGGACATTTTGAATCTAATCGAATATCGTTCAGACTCAAAAATGCCCCCGCGACTTTTCAAATACTAATGGGCACTGAAACGACTAACTAGCAAATACTTTCGTACATCTTGACGATATAATTATTTTTGGAAAAATAATACAAGAACACAATACGAATCTAGCAATAATATTCCAATGAATGACAGAAATAAATTTAAAATTACAACCGGGTAAATGTGAATTTTTAAATACTGAACTAAAATATTTGGGCCACGTTAATGATAAAGATGGAGTAAAACCAAGTCATATAAAATTTGAAGCTGTAAATGAATCCACCTCACCCAGAAAAATCAAAGAAAGTAAATGGTTCTTTGGTTAGCCGGTTATTATAGAAAATTTATTCGAAATTTTGCAAAAATAGCTAAATCAATATGGAAATTGACAAAAAAGGACGAAGCTTACAGATGGACTGATGAGCAGCCGACTGCTTTTGATACACTCAAACTTAAATTACGTGAGGAACCAGTTCTGAAATATCCTGACTTGAGCAATATTGTCTCAAGATGGACATCTCTGTTATTATATATAGCGGACACTTAATGATGCAGAAACACATTATACGACGACTGAAAAAGAATTATTAGCGATAGTCTGGACTATACAAACGACTAGAATAACATTCGTTAAGATGAAAGTTTAAAAATTAGGACAGACAATCAAGCGTTAAAATGGTTACAATGTCAAAGACACATCTTGAATGCTTAGGTGGAGACTTATATTAGAAGAATACGAATACGAAATAGAGTATCATAAAGGAAAAGATAATCTTGCCGCTGACGCGTTGTCACGAATAAGCATTACACGAGATAAAACGACACTGAAGGACAAGAACATAGACGAGCGCTTCAAACTAACAAATCAGACGGTAGAATCGAAGACAATAAAGAAGCTATGGAACCGAGCAATAGTACAACCAACTTCGAAGATTATATAGAATTTGTAGCCATGCAATAGGTCCCTCCTAACTTTACGGGTATAGTGAATCGAGACTATAGGAATAAAACAAGTTGATAGATTAGAAATAGATTGCCCTAGAGAAATAGAGTTATTGGCAAAATTGAAAAATATAACCAAAATCTACATATAAATAGAAATATTAGATCATATGTTTTCATAAAATCTAGTGGAACAAACAGTAAAATACGACAGTACTTGGTATTTAAAAACACCGAAAGAAATTACATTCTCACGCGAACCAATAATACCTATTTACGAACAAACAGAAGAAAAAGTATGCAAGGACAGCCACATTTCAGAATTACAACACTTCAGAAATAAAACACCTGCAAGAATCAAAGGAAAATTCTACTGGCCCAATATGAATAAGGAGATAAAAGATATGATAAGTAATTGCGAGACTTTCCAACGTGAAAAATTAACGAGGATTAGATTCAGAGAACCAGCTTCTATCACTTACACACCTAAAGATCCAAATAACAAAATAACTATGGACATATACGGACCATTACAAATGACCAGCAAAGGTAATCAATACATATTATAAATAAAAGGTGTCTTAATCAATTATTTTATCGTTGTACCGGTTTCCAATCAATAAGCACAAACAATAATAGAGAAATTGATGGATCATTATATTTAAGTAATTTCAATACCCAAGACGATACAAACTTATCAGGGCACGAATTTTGTATCACAATTAATGGAAATTTGAAGAAAATTTTATGAATAAGCATATTAAAACCACTAGCTTCCATCCACAGTGCAATGGCTCATTGGAAAATGCACACGTATTAATAGAAGGTTCAATAAGTACTAAGGACAGAGATAGAGAATGGGATGAGATATTCAATTTAGTTTGTTTCGGATATAACAATGCAATGCATGAGGGTATAGAATGTATAGAATTTGAGTTGACTTTTAGTAGAAAGGCGCAATTGCCCAATGCAACAGCTGCTACTATTGCAATGAGCAAGGAAGAAATATTTCATTTATGGAAACGTAGGCACGAGTTCTATTTAGCTGGAACCAAGGTAATAATAGATAAGAATAATGTCACACAGAAAAGAAATCTGGAAAAGAAAATTAAATTAAAAAATGTGATTAAAGTCAATGATAGAGTTCTAATGCATAACGACCATAAAGAAAATGAGTTAGGTTCTGAATAGTTGGGATCTTCTATTATCAACGGAATAAAAAGTCCTTATTACATCTATAAAGTCCTTAAGGGAAGATTTATTAAAGTACATGGTAATAGGTTAAAAATATTTAAAACTTGCCTTCGAATGAACAAGCTCATATTATTGGCAACACTAACACTAATGATAGGCGAAGAAATTGAATCTACAAACCTAGAAGATAAGAATTTATTACAGGAGATATACAGAAAGTATTCCTCTATCGTAACCAAGTAAAGATAAGAGTAGGAGTAGACACGATCGTTATTCAACAAGCATAAGAAAAAGTAATTGACCAATTATATGAACTAAATCGCCTATGTGAACAAACCAATTTTAGAGAATCTCCGGAAATTAATGTGTTAAAAATTAAAATTGATACATTAGAGAATATATACATTATAAATACTTGATGCATCTAAAAGTAAGGAGAGGACCATATAATTTTGTAGGAAGCATCTCTAAAACCTTATTTGACACATTAGACGATAGCGACTTAAAACCAATCAATCAAATTATAAACAAACATAATATGGGACCATTAGGCAGAGATAATATATCGATAGAATTAATATAGAATTAATTGAATTATCATACATGAACCCCGATCCGTGCCCGAGGAGCTTATTACTTCGAAGGTCAATAAGGCTAACTCGTAGTTGTATATTAAAAAATTGTGATCATTGTGATCCTCGTAATGCGTAGAATAATACAAGATAATCGGAGTTAAGTAATCTGTAGGTAGAGATAATGTAGAAAATTTTGAATGATCATATGTAAAGTCCGATTTTTACCAGAGAGCCGTATAATTTCAGGAACGATATATAATACTAAATCGAAATATTATTTGAAAAAATT